CCTATTTGGAAATTGGCATCTTTTGAAATTTGTGTGAAATTGGCAAAATTGCCAATTTCTGACCATTTTATTGGATAGTTGAAATCGGTAAATGGGTGGTTTCTTGTACTCGTTCGATGGAAAAAATGGAGTTCTATAGATTCTCTAGTATTTCATGTTTTTTTTTTTTTTTTTTTTTTTTAACCCTGAGAACAAGTTTAGGAGAGGGCCTCTCGACCCTGAAAGGGTTAACTATGCATCCGGCTTCCCACATGCAGTGTGACAGTTTTTGGTTCACCCACCTCTGTCGTGTGGGGGGCCGCCCATGGCCCTACGCCTAAGCTTTCCGGACCCTTTGCTGACAATGGTCCTTCAATTTTTACTCATTCTACCCAGAAAAGACCTACACGACACCCACTTTTGTTTACAAGTACACAGTGGACCAAATTCTTTTCCTTGCAGCCAACATCTCCAACTGATTATCTTTCAGACCCCAGTATCGGTAAAGCTCTTTTTCGACACATTGGCTAAAATATATCCTTTCACGCTCTTCAGAGTGGTGCATGCATCGTTACTGTTCAGAACACAAACCAAGCTCGTGATCTTTCCCATCTTCCACTGATAATGTCCCTGTCACAGTTCACAAGCATGCTACTCTCAATTCTTGTGGTGGTATGGTGGCTTTACCGCATACCATTGTACAGTATGATTTTCTGTCTTGCAGTGACGATATTTTAGAGCAATTTGCCCTTCATGACCTTCCAATTCTCAAAGTGGATACACCTGTCCTGCTCGCTCGTGGGCGCAGACACTTTCTCAGCAACATTGCCCACTTAACTTTTTACTATCGTGAACTCCCGTCCTCTGTTTGTATAGCAGCACATTGCCTTGAGGTCCGTAAAGTGGTCCCTACACCCCAACAGTATCAAAATTGTTGGCACTTCGGACATCCATCAAAATACTGCAGGTCTGTGGCGGAGTGCCTGGTCTGCGGTGCCGCAGATCATGCCAATACATCTTGCAGTCTTCCCCCCACCCCTTATTTGTCTTAATTGCAATGAAACTTGCCCTTCTTTTTCCCGCCAATGTCAGGTCTACAAGAAATTAGTTATTTAAAACACCTAGGGTGATGTCACCCGTGGCAGGTCTGCTCACCTGTTGTCAGTTTTCATGTTTTTTTTTTTCCGATTTTCTTTCGTGTATTTATTGTATTATTATTTCTAAGATAATAATTGACGATTTGGCATCATAATACAGTGGGTGGAGCTTATACATAGACTTGCATCGAATCAGGAACCTTCTGGGAACATATTGCTGACGTCATGGAAAATTCCAGTCTCGGAATGGCCGGGAAATATGCTTCAATATAAACGCTATTATCACTTCTAGGGCTTATTTATCTATCACAATTGATCTAATATGACATAATAAACAATATAAATAAAGAAATATGGTAAATACTCCAGAATGAATAATATATGGCATATTCCTAGAGTGTTCCCTCGGGAATATAAGATTCCCAAAGTTAGGGATGGCTTCCATTCTCCTTCTTTCACCTCCAGGGTCCTTATATTAAAGAAAATGTATATGGGTAACTATGATATACACTCATAATGCAGTATAAACCTGAGAAAAATGCTATTTTCTCGAAAAAAAAAAAATCTGTTGTCCGGCTGTTTCGCGGATTATCCCGGAAGTAGGTTATTCACATATATATTGCAGTACTGTCGTTAATAATAGCAGGAATGCAATGAAATTTACAAACAACATAAAGGAAAGATTGTTTAACAAGCTGGTGAGAATCATTTTGAGATATAATTTGTTTTTTATTTTTGTGAGGGCAAAAGTCAGATATTTAGCTGAATGTCAAAACCATACAAACTTTATTTTTTTTAAGAATGAAGAAAGGATAAATTACAGTAAAGTTAACTATAATAATACAGTTTAGCATTGTTTTATGCATAGATAATGCCAAAACAGCTTCTCCAAGTCCCACTTCGACAGTACCGTGCAGTATGTATGATTATTAGTAAATAATTTTCTCGGTTGTTTTTTGAGCTGTCTTATTGAAACTTGGTCACATTAAAATGGAAAGGTGTTTCTTTACGTACAAAAAAAAATGAATGAAATCGAACGAAAAATAAAGTTCAGGTGCTAAACATTATGGGCCCCTTAATGAACGTGAAATCTGTTGCCTTGAGGAGAGCGAAGGCCTTAAGCTATGGCTGTCTTGGCTCTGCCTTCAGGGGACTCATCCCAGTGTTCCGTATCCTCAAGTAGCTAGGAGACCTCTAATCTTGGCGGTCCCCCTGCCTACCAGCTCCTCTGGTGCTGTCTTCCTGGATCACTCCCATCTCTAATTCTTTTTGCGGTTTTACCCTCAGATCCCCACCCCCCTACCTATTCCCACATCTACTTTTCACCTGCATCATCTTAGTGCCTATCACCTGCAAAGTTGAACCTGTCTCAAACTCACACAAAGGTGGAGGTTCAACTCCCCCCATCCCTCGTGTGGTCCCCCTTCTTCTGTTCCCTCCCAGACTACTTCTCCAGTCACCTTCCAACCTCCTCCCTCTCCTGTTCTACTGCAGGATTCTTCTGTCTCTGCCAGCATATCTCTAGGTTTATACATACTCCCATTCCCTCTCAGACCTCTTTGGTTCCCTCCATAGTCTCCCTGATCTCTACTTGCTCTACCCCGCTTGTCGCTGAAGTCATGGTAACGGCATCTTCCTTGTCTGCTGAGATACGTGATGCTATCTCCGACTATATTGCAGAGATGAAACCCTCGATGGACACCGGTGCGCCACCAACCACCCCTTCTTGTTTTTCACAACTCTTGCAGCAGTCTTTTCCTTCACAGCATTTTGATTCCTCCACACTTCACTAACCCTACTAGCCCATAGAGTTTATCGCTTCTTATTGTTGGCATGCCTGTCTTTGTGAATAATGACTTATTTACAATGGAATATTCATGGCCTCGGGGGTAATTGAGGAGATGTCCAGGTGTTGCTCTCCCAGTTTTCCCCAGCATGTGTCATGTTACAAGAGCCCGAAATTCATTCAGCTGTTATCCATTCCGTTTTGGGCTATGTGCCATTGCATTCTTCTGATTCCTTTCCTGGTGATTAATTTAATGAGAATGCACTTCTTGTGAGCGTTGGTATACCGTATCAACAGGTCTTTGTTCATTCTCTGCTGCATTATACTGCAACCCATATATATTTGCACAGGTGGTATACAGTTTGCTCTTCATATCTCTCCCCTTCCTGTGCATTCTGTATCTCAGATATTGCGTTCTTGATCTCATCTCTGCAGCCGCCTATCTTGTTGTTAGGTGATTTTAATGTTCTCCATCTTTGGGGAGGGTCCCATTGTGACTCTTGTGATCAGTTGGAGACTTTTCTTGCTTCTCATTCTCTTCATGTTTTAAATACGGGTGCTTCCACCCATTTTGACTTGCACTCAGTCTTACGTTGATCTATCTATCTGCTCCTTGTCAGTCGCACTTGATTATGCTTGGTCTGTTCTCCCAGATTTGCACAACAGTGATCACTTTCCTATTCTTCTTACTACTTCTACGTATTCCTGACTGCCTTGTAGCCCCCATCAGCAGTTTGGACAAGCAAATTAGGACGTACTCTCATCATACCACTTTTTGTGGGGACCCTTATCCTTCTATTGATGAGCTGGTGCACCAGTTTTCAACCTTAGTTTTGACTGCAGCATCATGTTCTATTCCTCAAACCTCAGGCAGGCATGCTCAGTCATGCGTTCCTTGGGGGTCTCCTGCGTGTGCCCGTGCGGTGCATTTGAAACGCGCTGTGTGGAGCTGTTATCTGTATAATCTGAGCTCGGATTGTCTTTGACTTTAAGCGGGCAAGGACAATCGCTTGCCACATCTTACACGACACTAAACGTGCTTGTTGGCAAGACCGTGTCTCTCCAGTTACCTCGACTTCCCCTATGTGCGTGGTTTGGAAGAAGGTACAGAAGTTGTGTGGCAAGTACGCTTCGGACCCAGCTCCTGTTTTGCAGGTTGCTGGTGTTAGTGTTGCGGAACCTCTTGAAGTTGCCACGGAAATCGGGAGCTATCTTGTTCGTGTCTCGCAAGGGCTTCACCTCAGTCTTTCATTTCTCGAGTCTGTCTACCAAAGGAGTGATTGCCCTTGTATTTCTCTTCTAATTGAATGGAGTCGTGTGGCTAACAAAAACAAAGATGTCATTTTCTGTTGGGTCCTTGGACACGCAGATGTGCAGGGGAAATAAACAAGCAGATGCTGCTGCACGATCAGCGGTGCATGATCTTCCGGTTTCCTATAGGGATATTCTGTTTAGAGATTATTTTCCAGTCATCTCTGCCCATCTTCACAGCCATTGGCAACAACGGTGGTCGGGCATGCACCATAACAAATTGCTCTCAATTAAACCACTTTTAGGTTTGTGGCTATCATCTTACCACCATTGCCATACTCGAGAGACTGCCCTCTCCTGTCTCCACATTGGCCATACTCGCCTTAGCCATGGGTATCTCGTGGAACAACACCGTATTCCTCTCTCTGAGGATTGTCGGGTCCCTCTTTTGGTTCTTCGCTTTCTTGTAGATTACCCGGTTTACCAGCGAGCTCACAGGCTTTACCTCCAATGACGCTGCTGCCCTACCACTCTTACCTTATCTTCTCTTCTTGCAGACTACCCTACCTTTGACTTGCAATCACTTCTGGACGTTTTGTCAGCAACTGCTTTAGTGTACGAACTTTGACACACAGCCCTTAGTGCCCCTTCCACCCCTTTTCTCCCCTTACTTTTGATTCCCTTTCCACCTAGCTGTTTATAGCCCCAGCACTATTTTCTACCCTGCGGCGCTGCATGACCCTTGTTGGTTTAGCGCTTTCTTTGATTATAATAATTCTCCCATGGTATTTGTTTTATTGCACATAAGTACTCACTGATACATTAATAACTCTTTCATTTTAAGAGATTATTTGTAATTAAATAACATATATTTATTAATTTTGCAGATGGAAGCTGCAGGCTGTATAAATAAAGGTGCAAGTAACGTTGGTAAAACTGTGGGTTTCAGAAGCACTCGACTAAGTACTCTCAATGCCCCACTACCAACTCAAACTTCTGTTGAACGTCTCCCTTTCATTCACACTTCAGAAGCTCCAAAAAATTCTGTAGGAAAACCTGTGTGGCAAAGTAGGAATAAAGAAAATAAAGACTATTCTAAGTACTATACTGCATCTGGAGCCAGTAAAAAGTCAGATGATGATTGTAAAACTCAGTGAATTAAGAATTATGCCAGAAAGTAAATATGCTAAGCATATAATGAACTTATGAAATGTTAACAACAGGAACAAAATAATCATAGCCTGCAAGAAAGCATTTCATATACATGTAACTTGTATAGACTGGGAAAGGTGAAAAAAAAAAAAACTGGCTAGTGGTAGGAAATTTTTAATACTGATCTGAAGGCGATTGTGCATATAGAAACGACGACCATGCTTTTTATTTGAGGATGTACATAAATGGGTATATTTATTTTATGATCATTTTACTTGCCATTTGTGTATATTTTAAAGTTTGTAGTGTGTAATTTTCTTGTGGTTCATGTACCAATTCTGCACTGAAAGATTAGTGGAATAACTTTAATTTTTAAGTTGACACATGTTCCAGTATTGTACTGAAATTGCTGTATTCTGCTCAGTGCAGTGCCAAGTTGCCTCATTCTTTAGTAGCAGATGTTATAATTTTTTAATTCCTTTCTATGCAATTTATAAAGTAATGAGTACATTTCTTCATGTTTCTTATAAGGAACAATCACTCCCACCAGTTGATACACGTGTTTATACACTACATTTCTTTATATAATTATGCTTTTTAAGAATTTTATCTCTTTATATACTGTACTCTTACATTTTACTTTTGTATATTTTCCCATATACAGTACAATACTTTACTGTCATAAAGGTTATTGTAAAATAAATGCATAAGATTTATCTTACTCTTTTATTATCCATAATCTTATGTCATGTTAATAAACATTTTGATATTCAGTAGTATATTTTTGTACATAATACAAACATCTCTTAAAATAATACCCTCTTTCCCAATGCTTTCAACACTAAGCTTAATGCTGTGATGGGGTTTGAGGAGTTTGCCTCTTCAAAGGGGGCTCCTTAGCGCGGTACCATTTTGGTTTAGCGCTTTTTTTTTTTTTTATTATTATTATAATAATTCTTGGTTTAAGGACTGAACCTAATTCCCCCCTTCCCTTTCCTCCTCCTCTCCCCATCCCTCCCATATCCCCTTCCTGTTTTCAGCCTTTGGGATTCTTCCCATGGGCACCTTAGTTCCTAGGTAGGGGGAAGGGTACCGTGGTCCATCCCATTCCATTGAGGTCCGTGGTGGTGGCGTAGGTTGCCGTGTAATCTGGATCGCCTGGGGATGACCTTCTCTCTCTCCAGTCTCCCAGGGGGTGGTTTTGGGTGTCCTTCGCGTGACAGGTGTATCTCTGGAAGCTGCCTTTCAGATTCTAGGGGGTGGTGGCCAAAGGAGGTATGCCTCCCAGCATACATAAGGGGGATTACCAATAGATCCCTAGCTGTCTTCAAGAAGGCACTGGACAGGCACCAAAAGTTAGTACCTGACTAGCCAGGCTGTGGTTCGTACATCAGCTTGCGTGCGGCCAGCAGTAACAGCCTGGTTGATCAGACCCTGATCCACCATTAGGCCTCATCTCAGACCGGCCTGTGGGGGCGTTGACCCCCAAAACCCTCTCCAGGTAATGCTTTGTGATGGGTATACAGCCACCCTCTCTTTTTGTCCACTGAGGTATCTAAGTAGATGTGAGGTTGCTATCTCAGATTGCTGGTTTACTGGCATGAAGGGTAGGGTATGGCACGGGTTTCATGCTGCATCTGTACTACTTGCAATGCTGGGGTTCTCTTGGGCACAGAGGGGGATTTACGGCCCTTTCATTCCTCTTTAGAAGCTATCCTATGTTCCCCCCCCCCCTTTTTTTCTAAAAATCAAAAAGAAAGAAGTGACATACCCATGGAGTCCCAAGCCAATGAAACAGTGCTCCCCAGGCCTCTTTCTGTTACTGCACCTTGTTCCAACCCTATCTTTATATTTGTACCTCCTGCTGGTGCCATTTCGTCACCTGCCCCATGTACCGGGGTTCCGCCTGAGTGCTTTCATACATCTGACCAACTCTTGTCCCACACCTAAACACCCAAGACCATTACCTGAGAATCTTCCTTTGCATCCTTCTCATTCTGCCCAGAAAAGATTGGCGTAACACTCCCTCCCCTTACATGCTATGTTTCAAAATACACAATGGACCAAGTTTTTTAGTCTGCGGCCGACAACTTCTGACTATCTTTCCAATCATAGTATTGGCAAGGCACTCTTACGCCATGTTGGTCAAGATGTATCCTTTCGTGCTCTCAAGCGGTGCATGTATTGTCACGGTCCAGAATGCTAGCCAAGCTTGTGATCTTTCTCTCCTTACAACCATAGATGCTATTCCTGTAACTATTGAAAAACATCATTCTCTCAATTCTTGTAGTGGTACTGTCATTCTACCTCATACCATTGTTCAACAGAATTTCCAGACATGTGGTGATAACATTCTGGTACAGCTTGAGCTCCAAGACCTCCCAATCCTCGAAGTAAACACTTGTGTCCTCCCTGTCCGCAGGCCGGAGATGATACCCTTGTAATGTAGCTCGCTTAACTTTTGTCTGTCGTTAGCTTCCGACCTCTGTTTATATTGTGGGACACTGTTTACAAGTTTGAAAGGTGCTCCCTACACTGGAACTGTAGAAATTGCTGGCATTTTGGTCATCCAGTGAAATATTGCAGGTCCATGGCCGAATGCCTGTTCTGTGGTGCCGATGACCATACCAATACGTCATGTAGTCTACCTCCCTCTTGCCTTAACCCTTTGAGGGTTTCGGCCATACTAGTACGGCTTACGGCCCAGGGTTTTTGACGTACTAGTACGCCTAAATTCTAGCGCCCTCAAATCTAGTGGGAGAAAGCTGGTAGGCCTACATATGAAAGAATGGGTCTATGTGGTCAGTGTGCACAGTATAAAAAAAATCCTGCAGCACACAGTTCATAATGAGAAAAAAAAACTGATCGTTTTGTTGGAATAAAACAGCAACTTTGCACTGTATTTTCGTATGGTATTTATTGTTGTATTATAGTTTTCTTGGTCTCATTTTATAGAATGGAAGACATTACAGAAATTGAGATGATTTTGACTGGTTTTGCAATGAAAAGTACCTTGAAATTGAGCTCAAAGTAGCAGAAATGTTCGATTTTTACCAAAGTTCAAAAGTAAACAAATCATGCCAAGAGTCCAATACACGTCAACTGGTGAGTCTAATATTCTTTCGCAAGTACGCCAATGTTATTTATACCATTTTTTACACTAATGCAGTAGTCTGCATAACAGTAAATCTTCTTTTTTTTGTGAGAATAAAAATTCGAAGTGGAAAGCAAAAGAATGTAAGAGGGGCCTTGAGACGTGACTAATGAACAGAGGAAATGTCATTTTAGTGCCAGGTATGTCTTTCTTGTTTATTCTGGACCCTATTCGGAAATTGGCATTTTTTTAAATTTGTGTGAAATTGGCAAAATTGCTAAATTCTGACCACTGTACTGGATAGTTGAAATTGATAAATGGGTGGTTTCTTGCACTCATTCGATAGAAAAAATGGAGTTCTAGCGAAATAATCATGTTTTTTGTCGACTAGTACAGTGGAATTGGCCAAAAATGGGGCTCAAAGTGGGCAAGATCGCCGATGCGTAAACATCGCCCAGACTGCTAACTTCACGAGAGCATAATTCCGTAAGTTTTCCATCAAATTTCAAACTTTTGGTGTCATTATGATCGGAAAAAGATTCTCTATCTTTTCATAAGAAAAAATTATTTTTTTTTTTTTTTAAATTTGGCCGACCCTGAGAACGGGTCTCGGAGAGGGGCTGTCTACCCTCAAAGGGTTAATTGTCATGTGGTTCGCCCCTCTTACTTCGCTGTTGCCAAGCTTACTTAAATGAGTGAGAAACACGTCTTGGAGGCAGAAGGCTTTCCATATGCTATGGCACACACTCGCCTACGCCTCTAAGGGAGACTGTCCCATATTTCTTAGTCTCAAGTTACTAAATAAACCCCCACCTCTAGAGTCCCAACTTCTGCAGCCCCCTCTGTGGTCACCTCTTCCACAGTCACCCCTGTCTCTAGTTCTTTTGCTGTCCTGGACTTGATAGGTCCTTACCTCGACACCTCATTCTGTTCTCTTCCTCTTCTCACTCGCAAGTTTGTTTACAAGACCTCATACAAGTCTTCCACTTCTTTGAAGTCAAAAAAAATCCCCATTGTTAAAATCTCCTTTAACCCCTCTTTCCCTTCTACCTGCACACTTTTACCTTTCTAGTCTCTGTACCTTGTTCTTCACCTCTAACTGGCTCTGTTACGAGTGTGGAGGTTCATCCTCTTCATACAGTACCTTCCTTCCCTGTCCCCTCCCAAGTTTCTTCCTCCTATGCCCCCTCCCAGGTCTCTTCCTCTCCTGTCGCCTCCCAAGCTGCTTCTCCAGTTCCCTCTACCCTTTTGTCCCCCTTATTTTAGTACAGTCCATCGTTGCCCCAATCTTTACTCGCCTTCCTCCTTCCATCTCCAATATCATCCCACATCCAATGTCCTTGTCCTCTGAAACACTTGAAGCTATCTCCGAATATATGCAGGAGACTAAACCATTGATGGACACCGATCCTCCACCTGTTCCTCCTCTTCACTCTTCTCCATCTGCACAACTCCTTTCTTCACAGCACCCTAATCCTTTGCTGCTTGTGCATTTTCCGTTGCCTCCACATGTGGAGTTTTCTAGCCCTTCTAGTCTGTAGATACCTCTACCTTCAGATTTCTTGTAGCTTTCTCTTCGCAAATCATGTCTTATTTACAGTGGAATATCCATGGCCTCAGAGGTAACCGGGACAAGCTTCAGGTGTTGCTCTCATAAATTACACTCCAATGTTATCCATCCCATCTCGGGTTATGATTTATTATATTCATTGGATCCTTTTTCCGATGGAACCTTTAATGAAAGTGCATTTATTATACATGTTGGTATTCCATACCATCAGCTCTTTGTTCATGCTTCGCTGCATTACACTGCAGCACACATCCACTTGAATAAGTCTCTCTCCTCAGGCATTATCTATCCCAGATGTTGCATTTCTGGTTTCTTCCTTACCCCCACCACTTCTGTTACTTGGCAATTTTAATGCTATTTCCTAGGGGGAGGGGAAGGTCTCACTGTGACTCCCACGGCATTTAGTTGGAGGCTTTTCTTGCTTCTCTCCCCCTCCATGTTTTAAATACGGGTACTGCCACCCATTTTGATCCTCGTACTCATTCTCTCTCTCTTGCATCGATTTCCCAATTTGCTCTTCCTCATCTGTACTAGACTTTACTTGGTC